CATTGGCAAGCATGCACCCAGCATCTGCATGCTTAGAAAAGACTCTAGGAATTGTCTGAAAAACCAAAAATTGTCATGCATGCACAACGGATTTTGAATATAATTCTCGAGTGAACTTCTAAAAGAAAGCAAAGCCATCAGTGCACCTTAGGAACTAATGCATTACAGGACTTTAATCAAGCATTGCTCCATAATTAGACACACTTTTCCTTGCACAAAAGTTTTTTTTAAAGCCAAGTATCTGATGCCTTGAACCTCTGTTATACTTAAGAAAATAAACTTTAAAAGACATTCATTACTCTTGAACTAAGCATTTCCTTACTAAGTCCCATCCTAGAACAACTTTTAACTGCTAATTTATCATCCTCCCTCCCAGTGACAGGGAAGATTTATAGTGGAAAAGGCTTATTTAACATTACTCTGATGCCAAAAACACATGGTGCTACACTTTTGGTGATATTGGTCAAGAAGCAATAACCAAGGAAAACAAACTACTAAGGAATAACCCCCCAAAAAACCCACTCCCACAATGGTAAGGCTTGGCATGATTCTATTGGAATAAACTGCAGTGGGATCCCATCCTGAAGGTTGTTTATAAAAGACCAAATGTCTGATTTCATCCTCTTGCAGCCACCTGCCTGTCCCTTATCTCCACTGCAGCACTGCTGTGCTTATCAGCACTGTGATCCCACTCTGCCAGGAGCACATTCCAGAGCCCCACTGCCCATTCCAAACCTGCAGCACTGGGAGAGAGCCACTGGGAGTTTTCCAAATGGGCTCAAGCCACTGACACGGGAAGAGATGCAAAGGATGAGGGAGGAGAAATGCTCCCTGCATGTGGTGCCAAAATCCAGAATCGATCTGATGGCAGGGTCAAGGTCACAGTGAGAAAAGAGAAGGGAGGCCAGCACAGGGATTTTCACACGTAGCCTCTACCTCAGATGAGATTTAAATGAGTGAAGTGAGCAAGAGGAGAAGAATGAACAGCCAAACCTCCAAAGCACAGGATTTCACAGCAAGAAGAACCTTCACTGTAACCATCTGTCAAAAAAAGAAAAAAACAGGACATCTGTTGCCCAACAAGTTCTCAGATATTCTGAGGTGCTTTTTTAATATAAGAGGTGAGAAGAAAAAAAAGAGGGGGGGAAATAAACTATTATAAAAGAAATGGCTCTTCTAGTTTCATTCTAATCAGAGGGCAAGAACCACCCAAGAACATCCAAGTGGAAACAACCTGGCTGACAGAAGGCATAAGAAGACAACTCTCACAGTTCTTCAGAAGAGAACACAGTCACAAAATGAATAAAATGAACTCCTGATAAAACCACAAGCTTTCTGAAACCCAGATGAAAAAAAGATCTGAAGCTTACTGACAAATCATCTCAGCCAAGTAAAGGTTCTTCAATATTTTAAAATTCAAGGTATTTTGCAAAAGTGCAAATCACATCACTGGAGGTCACTTCATTACATGAACAGCACAGTTGACAGAATAGGAAAGGTCAGGGCTTTAGGAAAGAAACTACCAGGAGGCAGCACTGAAGGTAAAATGAAAATATTCCTTCAGAATGCCTGCAATGCAAGAAAGCACAGCTGAAGCAGGAGCGCATTAACCCACTATTCAATGAGAGGGAAAATCTCTAACAGATGATGCCAAAGCACTTGGGGCATTTTCTGCATCAATCTCCACTCAGTAAGATGGATTAGCTGGCTAATGTAACTCATAGCACAGCAGAAGGAGCAGGAGCCCAGGCTGGAACTGGGAAATGCATTACAGCAACTGCTCCAAAGCTCCCGAGCCAGCAAAGCCGCGGCTCTGAATTTTCCATGCAGATTTATCGGCACACTTCAAACAAAAAGCACCACAAAGGCAATGTGCTTCTGCAGACAGCTTAATGAGCCTCCATAAACCCATGGACGTGTAGTCCATAAACCTGTGCACTACAGCCAGGGGTTACAGCATTAGGAGTACTTCAAGGTTTTCAAATCTGGTAGATGTAATATTTACCCTTTGAAAACTGACAAGAGAAGTTTTGGATCATCTCTGCTCTCTGCATTAAGCTCCAACAACCTAAAGAAGGACTAAAGCACCTGCCTTTAAAGAGCAGGAAACAAGTACACAGGAAAACAGACCAGAGTCAGGCTTACCAGATCCTGGGAAGATGCCAAAATAATCTGAGGAAAAGCCTATCTCCTGCACATGTCAGATAACAGAACGGAGGAGATTCAACACACAGTTTCTTAGAAACAAATTTTATCAAAGGAATATAATTCCCTCCAATGACACAGTAACAATATAGGTAGTGAAACAGCAACTACAGGCAATGTAGTTTTGGTTTAACTGGACTTTTGACACTCTTAAACTGACAGCCATATAACCTAAACAAAAGCAGAACATACTGAAGCACTCAGAGATGATTACAAACCCACACCCAGAGATAAGCTATCATTATTTCAGTCTGAGAGAAAATTGGTAGCAAGCCCATTCACATGGCTTTAATCTTCTCACATTCTCCACTGTTACAGAAAGTAACCAGGGGAAGAGGGGTTTTAGCAATGAACTTACTGCAGGCAACTTCATATTTTGCTCTGCCTCACTTGGATTTCTTACGGTGACAAGCAACAATTTCCAATCTCTTCCAGACATTCTGTCCACAAACTACACATTGGAAAATATCAGGATGTTAAGAGAGAATAATCCCAGTTTCAAACAACTTGGATGAAGGGTCTCATAATCCACAGTCACTTGAAGCAAATAAAAGTCACCTGAAGTAACAAATTGTTTAACAGAGCAAAAAGGTAATAATAATAATAATCACCTGTACAACACAACGTGGAAAACAAGCTTGACTTCTGTTCTGTCCACAGATATGCTGAGTGGTAATGTGCTAAAGAATCTGAGACATGTTTAACATAAATCAAATGTATCACTACAAAAAAACTAAATACATCAAGAGTCATCAGCCTGCCTGGATGAAATGCAGGTAGGAAAAGAATGAAAAAGAACACAAAATGAAAAGAACACAAAATCATTTTGACTCTGGCTGTTGCACTAATGACTCGGATGGAACACCATGTCCAGCTTCAATAAAATGCAAACCAAGTGGAAAAGGGCTAACAAGACCCAGTGAGAATAACTCCCAAAGTGTAACCAAAAAAAAAAAAAAAGACATTAAAAATCACTGAAGAGAAGGGACTGAAGCAATGGGATTTCTTCAGAGTGAAAAACACCAAAGAGAAAGCCCTCAAAGTTTTCCAGACATTCCTACAAAAGAGAAGTAATAAAGAGTTCACAAATGTAAAAAATTCATGGTAGAGTTCTTAAATGCTTCAATTATAGCAAAGAAATTTAGATTGGAAATTAGGAGTAGTGTTTTCAATTGTAACAACTGCAAAATATCAAAATACATTGACTAAGGATACATCTCCATTGGAAACTTATGTTAGCTCATTAAACATCCCTTCCTTGTGAATGAAATATGATGAATTTATGAGAACAAGTCAATTACCTCCTTCCATTCACAGGTGGGTCATCTGAGCTTCTAGATGAGCTACTGTGAAAATTTATTAACCATTACTAAGAAACAGCTTCCAGCATCAAGGCCTTGTAACACTGTATGGAAACAATAAGAGATATACAACCCTGAGGGAGCTCTTGGAAGGAAAACACAGAGGAAAAGTGGCACACTTGAACCACATTGAGATGGAGAGTCCTTAATTACAACAAAAACAAACCCAGAGATGCAAACGACAAGAGCTGGGGTGCAGAAACAAGAAGCAAGACAAGAACATCAACCCCAAACACGGTGCCAGCAACTGCACCCAGTAAAGCTGAAAACACCATTAACTGTCTGGAGCAAAACTCAGCCACAAAAAAAAAAAACAAACCCAAAACAACTGAGAAGCAAAGCAGGAGAGCAAAGTGAGACATGCTGTCCTCTGCTGGAAGCGGCTCTGGAGGAGCCTGGAAGCCCATCGGGACCACTTTGATCATCCCTTTGATCTCTGGGGAATGCAGGATCCATCGCTTTAAAGCCGCCCTGCCGAGGCCACCACCACACCTCCATGGCACGAGCAGAGAGCAGGAGCGGGGAACAGAACGAAAAGTAAACCTTTTTTCCTAATACAACAAGATAAATCCTTCCTTCATCCTGCTCACTTACAGCAATGTACCGAGGCAAGCAAAAGCTCCCAGGCTGCATTTTTTCAATGTCACTCACACGTGGTTTAAAAACATACACAGCACAGGAAAGATGACGAGACAAAAATAAAAAAAAATATATAGAAAGGGCTGCTGCTGCAGTACTGGACTTGTATGGGGTACATCCAGAAAGAATTTAGAGTACAGCCTTTCAAACTTCCACACTAACTAAGGATGGCTCCAGATCTGAAAGGGAATGGGCTCAGGCTATTTGTGACTTCAATCAGCAGGACTTATCTGTGACAAAAACAGCAACAGCCACTGCTGGGTGCTGTATAAGGGCTGAGTTTTGGGAGGAAAGGGAAAAAAGTAATGACTGTTCTTGGGGGAAAAAAAAAAAAAAAGAATAAGAAAAAAGAATGAGTTCAGACTACCATCAGTACAGGTTCGCAAGAGGATTTCCCAACACTTAAACTAGCACCAAACCTTCAGCAAAGCACTCTTCATTCAGCAGAACTGACACATTAAAATAACACAACAAAACACCTTTTTCTCCTTTACTCGAGCACAGTTTTAAACAACAAACGTTTAACTCTACGGGAAATGCATTTTTCCCTTGGCACGCCGAAGCGCGGCAGCGCTGCGGGACGGGAGCGTGTCCCGCGGGTTCCTCCCGGGAATTTCACCGCACAGCCGGCACCGAGGGCGCTCACACCCACACCGGAGCCAGCCCGGGCTGGGACGGGCCCGAGCGGCCCGGAGCCGCCGCCGCCCCCGGACCGGCCGGGGCAGCGACCCCTTCCCCGGGCCCCGCCGGGGCTCCGCACCGCGCCCGCTCCCCCCGGGGCCCGGCGCCACTCACAGCGTGTGCCCGCAGACGTTGACCATCAGCTTCAGCGAGGGGTTGCGGTACTTGGTGGTCTTGCACCGCGGGCAGCCCAAGTCGTCCATGGCCGCC